ATCTGTAATAATAATTAAACAAATAATAAAGGAAACAGCTGAGTGGCAAGGGCATCTGCACTTGAAGGCCCTACCACTTCCTGCATATTCAGAAAGGCAGTCTCAGGACAGGGTTATTTAGTAGGCACCCCTCAGCATGTGTCAGTGGGGACCACACAACTCTGTCATGTTGGATTCATGTGGACATATGAATACCTGATTCTGCATGCCAGACAGTAAGAGGCTAAAAGGCTTTTTCTCCTATATTCTTTTTTTTTTTTTGGGGGGGGCGGGGGTAAGTTTCTACAGTGTTCAACAGATGTGCAAAACTGGACTCATGGAGGGTCTTCCAGTGCAGTTAACAGGACCCTGGCTGAGACCCAGGTGACTTGGTATCAAATCCCCACCAAAAGGGGTTAACGACAACTTACCTCCCTATTCCACAGGGTTGTGATAATCCAACAAGCTTAAGGATGAAAATGACTTTCTAAATGAATGAAAATACAGAACAACTGACCTTGCTACTTTATGCTCCAAATACTACAGAGGGTTATCTGGGGAAAGGGTGAAATCACAGAGTTCTCAGGATGGCACTGCATCATGGAGCTACTGAGTTTGTAGGAAGACCTATGGGGAGGGACAATAAACAGGTAAGTAGCCCTCCTTACACATTCAATGGGGGAGACCCTCCCAGGGCTGATGGGGAGAGTAGCTGCATTCACTCTGCACTTGCCAGTGTGCTCAGCTGTCCAGCACAGCCCCAAGCCCTGCCAGCAGGACAGAGTGCGGCACTGATTCCCAGCCCCCAGGCAGCAGACTGGTGCTTGGAAGTCAGGGTGCTGCGCACTGCAGGAGCTGCTGCTGCTCGTGACTGCAGAAAGTCTGGGGTTGCAGAACTTGCTGGAGGACACAGTTATGCTCAGAGAGGTCATGGCTGTTGCTGTCCAGGGGGCAGGGGAAGAGTGGCTGCCTCTCACAGCCCACCCTGGACAGCAGTTCTGATGGTACTCAGCTCTTGCTTCTACTCTCTTCCCTTGCCATGGAAACTCCAGCAGAGATTTTGGATTTCTGTAGAAAAAAAGACTACAGAAGCTAACCTGGCTTTCTACAAGTCCTGTCAATTGATCAACTTTCAGATGTCTTAGCATCCTCCAATGTGACTACTGGCATGAGTCACAGGCAGATGGGGACATCCACCCACCCTCACAGACAAAAGCACAGAGAGGTGGGTGGGTGGGTGCAGGGCAGAGCAACATATCTGCTTTCCTTTCTTCTGGTTGCTGCCAGAGAAGAGGGGCTACAATACCACAGAGCAATCTAACTTGGGGGTATAGTGGAAAGGGATGCTGGTCACCATGAGAAAAAAGGTATGGTTGGGAAGGAAACTCCTCTGGTTATATGTGTTCCCTTTTTTTAAAAGCATTTAGCTTCCTGACCTCGAAGTACTTTCCAGAAACAAGTTAATGAGGCTTCTGGCAAAAATAGGTGTGTGGCTTCCATATTTGCCTAGCAAGTGGCCTAAAAGGCCCAATGTGATTTAGCACATCACCTCTCTGAGCTCAGCTACTCCGCTCTCCCCATGCTTACTCTGTCCCAGCTACAATGGCCTCCTTGCTGTTCCTCAAACTTGCCAGATAAACTGCCACCTTGGGACCTTTGGGCTTGCCATTCCACTGTCTGGAATGCTCTTCCCCAAATATTTTCAGGGTCACTCTTTCACCTCCTTCTAATCTTACTAAGGTATCAAATCCCAGGAAGAATTTTCCTCTGGATAACTTATCTAAACTTAGAACTCCTAACCACCATAAGCGGGCCATCCTTTTTTCCTATTTTTCTCCAGATAGAGCATTTATCACTATTTGATATTCTATTTATATCTCCGTCTTATGCAATGTTTGTTTCCCTTCATCTCAATGCAAGCACCTTGAGGGTTTCACCTTGTTCAATACTGTGTCCTCTGTGTCTAGGATGGCATCTAGCACCTTGTAAGGCACTCATTAAATTGTCACTGCCTGTGCTTTGGTTTCCTACCTTGGCCCTTGTATTAAAGCACTTAGGTGGGTGGAGCTACAGAGAAGTACAAGAGATGGAGAAGAGCGGTCAGGAAGCAAAGCAAAAGATAAGGAAAATGATGTGTGTGTCCAAGTGATAAGGAGCAAAGTGAAAGCTAAGAGATTCCTGAGTAAATAACAGAGGACTTGGAGAAGGGCAAGTTAGTGCCAAGGAGGAAGAAACAGATAGCCAAGGAGGCAACTGTCCAGAATATTCCAGAAACTGTCTAACCTGAATAAGCAGTTGATGCTTAGACAGAAAGTCTGGATGAAGCCATGGCTTTTGGACTCCCAATATACCTCTGTTAACACACTGATGTGCTAACTGAAAGGTTGGTGGGTTAAGTCCATCCAGAGGCACCTCAGAACAAAGGCCTGGTGATTTGCTTCCCCAAAACCAGCCACTGAAAGCCCTATGGAGCACAGTTCTATTCTGACACACACATGGGGTTACTATCAGTCAGAATTAACTCTACGGCAAATTGTTGGGGTTTTTCTGTCCCATGCAACTTGCTTCAATGCCATTTGACCAGGAAGAGAAGGAGGGATGGGGCCAAGCAAAACATGGAGTGAGTGATACAAGGGAGTCTAGTTGATGATCCTTTGGGTATTAGAAGGGGTTCAGGGCATGCAGTTTTCATTTAAAGCAAGAGGCCCAGGGACATGTTAGATGAGTTGGATAGATGGAGGAGACTAGAATGGACAGCAGGGAGAAGGTGGCCTCTGAAAGAGATGAGATGGACAGAGGTGGGAGGCAAGGCACGAAGAGTAAGACATCCTTTGAGGTCTGGAGCAGGGAAGAAGTACTATTCTTCTGCCGTCTGTCTTAATCTTCTGAAATTTCTTTCTTAGTTTTGTGATTTTATTATCCCAAAGTTCTCATGATCTTGCCCAAGAATTTTTCTTACATATATAAATATATATGGAAAATGTACTTAATAATTTGGGAAAATTGAGTAATTTGGTCATGTTTGTGAGAATTAAAGAATCTTTCATTTGAATTTGGCAACAAGGTCAGAAAGAGTCACTCTCAGAAACTGAACCCATCAAATTAAAGAACAGATACTTTTAGCCACCTGCCAAATAATTCAAAGTAGGAGGTACTTTATAAATGGCAATAAAGAGACTAGAATGTTTTATGGGACTCCCCTAGGAAAAGAGGTTTTTAGATCAGAGATTTTCTCAGTCGAATCATGGTGATCAATTAAAATATGTCCTTGGAAGTGGAGTGTATTTAACGCAAACAAAGCTGTTGATTAAATCAATCATGCTACCTAATACATTCAGTCTAGCTATCTGAAGTGGGCTGGAAGACATTTTGATAAAGGAAGACAAGGAACAAAAAGTTTGGTGTATAATCATCTGGTACAAAGGAGGATCTTTTTAATTTGAAAGCCCCAATCTTGGTTTTCTAGACATCCTTGATATGGAGAATGGAAATGAATACTGCTACCCTATATAGTCTTTAAAAACATCTAACTGCCTTTGTCCTAATTCTTCACGCACAAAGTGAACTTCTGATCCACTGTTGTTGTTGTTAAGTATCAAGTTGGTTCTGACTCATAGTGACCCTGTATATTTTCCAAGGAGCGGATGATGAGTTTGAATCACTGATCTTGCAGTACAAACCGACCTTGCAGTCTAATGCTTTATCTTACAGCACCACAAAATGACTCTGATCCACTGACTGTGTGTATTCTGGCTGCTCTGAAGATATAGTCACCACACAAAAGTTCAGAAGTAAGAATGTACCTGTAAATCAGGCCAGAGAGAAATATCCTCTTAGTTGAAAATGGGCATTTCTATCTCTAGATCCTTCAGTCTCTTGAGAGTTTTCAGAAATTGTGTTTTGGTTTCCTTGACTTGATTGCCCCAGAGAGTACTATAAAGCCTGTGACAGAATTCCACACCAAGCCCTGCAAAGCCTGTAATGGATCATGGGGCAGTGGGTTAGGTTTGTCATGGTGGTGACAGCCTAGCGGGGCTTGTCTGAAGCAGTCAGTTTCTCCCCTTTGTCATCTCTTTAAGTTGCAGTCAAAGTGAAATAGCCAGAATATGTGAACAAAGGGGAGACAATGGCATATGTTACATGTGAAATTATTTTAACAACCTGGCACCAGGTCACCAATATGCAACATAATTTTCAGCATGCATTTTGTACTAACTCATCTTTCTAAAGAAGCAGAGCACTGAATGGAGGATCTAAACTCTCATGTGATAGGCTTGTGCCTCTCTTCTGATAATATGGCAACTCTACACAAACAGAGGCAGAGAGAGGGAAGGAAAATGGCCATGGAGAACAGACACAGGGCTTACCCTTCTTGGGAAGATTCAAGCAGCTTGATTCTCTTTTCTGGGGAACAAAGCCTTCTCAACTCCACAGCTTTCCATCTTACTAGCAGAGGACTAGATTCACACCTGTTATTCTTCTCAGGCAAGATCGTTTTATTTGATTTCTCATGTTTGGGTAACAATTTCCTAACTTTCCCCACCTCCAACTGCATCTTCAAACCCTGAAATGGCCAGAGATGACTAACTCTGCCTGCTTTTCATTATCACAATGAAGAATCATCTCATCATAGAAGAAGATCAAGACAGTTGACACATGGGTGGTCAACCTCTTCTACTCAAGTCACAAGAGAATGGTCACTTAATGAAATTCCATCAGTTGTATTAAAATACTTCTATCAGGTAAACATCTCTCTTTAAACGCTATAGGACAGTGAAAATGTGCATATTAATGAAATATATCATCATTTTTCTTTCAACTGTACACACTTTAGGGTGGATGCAGGGTGACTAAATAGATGTTTTCAGAATGTCAACCTTAAGACACAAGTAGCCAAAGCCATAAAACTACCACCAAGGTCAGCCATACCGCCAGCACCAAAGAGTCAGTGAGGTCACCTGCTGGAAGTCTTGGGCACTGCTCTGCTTGTTCCCTCCCTTCCTCCTTTGAGGAAGGTCTAATTATGGAAGGACCACAATCTTTTTCTCCAGCTTCTGGGGTGGGAACAGGAAGTTTCTCATTATCTCATCCAACTCTTCCAGGGCCAACTGGGCATGGAGCTTGGCCACTTCATCAGGCTCCAAATGCACCACGTGCTTCAGCAGGTGGTAGAGATCCTTGAGGACGTCCCTCAGCACCTGTACAAGAAAGACACAGTTACGACCATCTATCTGCTGTGCCAACATTTCTTAGTGCATCCTAAGTGCCTTCTCCTGCTATCTGAGGAGTTCTGTGAGAAAACCCACAACCTCCCTCAGGAAAATAATGCACTACAAGGTGAAGATAGATGGAGGGATGGTCCACCTCATAGATCCAACACTCTTATAGAGATTGGCCTCCCATTGGATTTTTCCTTCACTCCAGCTACCTTACTCCACTACCTTTATTCCCAGGCCCAAGCATAGATCCCAGATCCAAAGCATGGCAGAGAACTAAGAACTGCAGACAGGCAACACAGCCCAGACAGGAAAGTTCCTAGAGCACATTTACCAATATTTCCCTTGCTAGTTCCTCAAAGAGCCTCTACCGACACCCACACAACAGGCTCCTTATCTTATGAAGCCCAGGAGGTTATTTCCTTCAATTAAAAAATTTCCACCATGATTCCATCGCTTTGAACTTGTGTTTTGTAAGTGAAATTCCAAGGGGACAATAGACCATCACTGTGAGCAGAAGAGATGCATGCAGTATGTGTGTCTACTATTCTTTGCTGGTATGTTGGCATGTAGCATTTGTCATGCTCATGGGCACAGAATTCTGGCTGACTTATGATGAATGGGAGTTTGGTGAGAATCCAAGTAAGGACAAGGTAAATATGTTACGTGTACGACTAAGCAAGTGAGGCATTGACAGCCTGGTAAGGCCATACTTTCCATTCAAACTAGAACTTGCTTCAAGCAAAGAAAAGAAGACAGTGTGGCATTCTAAGAAACAAAGACAACAAAGGAATCCAATCATATTTTTTCTTACTTGTTTAGACCCTGTTTATTCATCAGAAAGCCAAAAGTACAGTGTTGGTAGAATATGTACATATTAAAAAGTGAAAGATAAAGAGTTAGTTTTTGTGTAGAGCTTTCACTGTTCTAAGAATAAAATACATATGCATGTTTAAACTAGTTAATACATATGGTTTAATTTCAGTGATTCCACACATTAAGTACTCTAATATTTTCATTTGGAGTCCTGGTGTGGTGCTGTAAGATAAGCACTGGACTATTAACCACAAGTCTGGCAGTTCAAACCCACCAGTGGTTCCTTGGAAACCCTAGGCAGGGTTGTTATGTCAAGTCGAAACAGACTCGACAGCATTTAATAACAACACCATATTTTCAGTTAAAATTGGTATCATACAATATGAAAATAAACAGTAAAGTTCATGCTAATAATTTAACATTTTCATTTTTTTTACTTAGAACACATGCAATAACAAATAAAAAGTACCAGGACAATGGAAGACAAATAAAAGCTTTATGTTTTAGTACCTTTAGTGGCACTTGTTTTTCTTCATTTGTAACAAGGACCCCAACACTTTAATTTTACACCGGGCCCCACAAATCAGACAGGCAGCCCTGTAGACAATTCTCAGTGTTCTGTGGTTTTCTTAGGGAGCAGCTGAGGCACAAATAGGAGTTACCCCACCTAGCCTACGTTTCCAACTCTTAACTGTGGCACTATCCCTACTGCCCTTTCAAAATCTCTCTTCAGGTGAGGGTGTCCTTTATCTTTCCTGGAGGCTGACAATGTGAAAAGGAGAGAATTCCGTGGAAGGGGTGACTTTCCACACTACTCCCTCATGATTACTCACTTGTTCAGTAATTATAATTAAGGGCTTATTTCATGCCCAGGCAGTGAGCTGGTAATAAAAAGATGAATAATCCACATTCCCTACCCTCTGGCTGCCACAGTCTAGCCTGGAGGCTGATACACACAACCTTACAGTGTGAGTTTCCTTCTAGGAGATAAATGTCCATGATCACTTGGAAGCAGAAAGAAGGAAGTGATTCTGCCTGTAGGAGGACAGGGAGGGGAGGAATAACATCTCCCTAACAAGTCCTGGTGGGCTAATGTGTCAGACTGGAAAGTCTTTTGAACTGCAAGGTCGGTGGTTCAAGCTCACAAGCTGTTCCTTGGAAACCCTAAAAAACACGGTCCCTATGGGTCAGAATTGACTAGACAGCACTTAACAACAACAAGTGAATTGTCCTTAATTCTGACAGTTTTTTGCAACCAATGAATGGCACCAAAAAGTAGCAAGTCGCCTTAACCACAAGTCATCTCAAATAAATGCAAACGCTAAGCAAAGAAAAAAAAACCAGCCCTGGTGGCACAGTGGATTAAACTCTGGGCTATTAACAGAAAGAGGAAGATGTGGCAGTCTGCTTCCATTATGATGTACAGCTTCAGAAACCCTATGGAGCAGCTGTACTCTGTCCTATAGGCTGAACCCACTCAATTGCAGGTCAATGTACTATAGCTCAAAGGGACTCTTACATAAAAAATTCTTAAGTTCCTATGGTTTATTACAAAGTCATCCTCTCCCCCCACCCCACTGGAGGAATCTTCCCCCTATCAGAAGTATCTTAAGAGATTTTTGCTAGGTTAACAACTCCATGCTAACTTTTGCTTTTTAAAGGGAAATTCTGAGGTACTCTGTTCAGGTGTTCTGCTCTTTCCTTGTGTGGGTAAGAATTTTCCCCTCAGCACTGCTGTGTCCTTAAAATAATAATAATGCCTGTGCAAACACCACTTCATACTGGAGAGGTGCTGACTTCCTTGTTATCAGTTACCGGATCTCCTTTTTAAGGTAGCTGAGTGTTAAGCAAAGGCTCCTCCTTAATTAATGGGTCCATTTTAGCAACCCACCCTGGTACCACTTCTCTTCAATCCCTGTAACTCTAGGGATCCTGTATATCACAGACTTCCTCTGGATCAAAGTTTCCTGCCAGCCAGGGATTGTCACCAAATCCCTTGGATCAGGGGCTGAGTTCAAAGGTAAAGTTACTCACAGAAGCCTCAGTGGTGGGCAGGATATAGGCAATCTCACAGAGGAAACCTCTCATTAAGAGTTCAACACAGTTACTATTCTTCCCAAACCACATCAAGGCAAAGGACTCCAGGGCAGGGCTTCCAAGCAGTTCATTCTGGCTTGAACCCCTGCTGAGAAGTTGCTTCTCCTAGATGGACTCAATACCTCAGTGGGGAAAAAGGCAACATTTCAGCAGGGAAGGAACCAGTTTAAAGGAACCTGGAAGGAACCGGTTTAAAACCCTGCTCCGGAGTTGAGCTTGGGGGTGGGTACATCTCTAGAGTAGACCTATCTTTGTTTATAGCAACAGTGGTTGAAATAAACATCTTTACCATCTGAAGAGCTTTTATGGGACCATCTAAAAGAAGTACCCAGATTCCTAGTCTGAAAGTTCTTTGGAAGGGATGGGATTAAGGTGCTTTATTAAAAGAATTTAGAATGTTACCCACACCTCTCAAACACATTCAGTCCAGGTGCCTGGGCCCTGAAGCATACAAAGCTGAAGCTTCAGAGAAAAGGGCAGTCTGTAGGGTTAGAGCGGCTAAGAAAAGACCAGATGAGGCAGGGCACACTGAAAAGGATACAGTAAGAAAAAGACTGCCTTAGGCACACAGGTGCACTCTCAATGGAAAAGCAGGAAGCCAGGGCATTTGACTCTTTCAATGCACTTGACCTGGAACATCCCCATAGTTGTGGTTGTATGAAAATACATGGCAAATAGTTTTCTTCTTTTTAATTCCTACTGTTATTTATTTATTTGATTATAAAAGCAACAGAACCACAGTCCAGAGTATCTGAAAAATAAAGGAAGAAAACAGTCTAATCTGATCACCACTCTAACATAGTTCCATTAGCAAAGATGCATCCTAAAAAACAGATATATTTACATTTAAAGAATATTTTTAAAAAATCTATTCACATTTCAATGTGATTTTATCAATGGAAGTAGGAGAATGCCATGATTATTCTTCTGTTATTATGTGGAGTCAGCAACACAAAACACAAATGGCCACAAACAAGACACTGACAGAAACAAGGATTCCTCCTGGAAGACTTCATGCTGAATGAAATTATTCAATCACCAAAGGACAAATATTGTATGAGACCACTGCTGTAAAATATTAAGAAAAGGTTATCTTGATAGAAAAAACATTTTATGATGGTTACCAGTGATGGGGGGAGGGGAATTATTCATGAGCTAGAGGTATTCACATGTTAATATGGATGACCACACAGGCAGGCAATATACAACAAGAGGGAGGTTGGCAGAGGAAAGATGAGGTTAGTGGGAGACACAGGGAAGAACACAAGAGTTAAAGTTGTTCTTAAGTGCCATCCAGTTGGTTCCGACCCATAGTGACCCTGTATAGGGTTTCTGAGAAGCAGCTAGTGAGCTTGAACTGCTGATCTTGCAGTTCAAAAGACTTCGCAGTCTGGCACATTAACCCACACTGCCATCCATGCCAGGACTCCTCAAGAGTTCAAGTGAATAGAGGTAAATACTGTTAACTGATGGTACTTGGAGGGGTCGACTGCAGTCTTTGTAATAAAGCAAAGTATATGATTTGTTGAATGTAAAACTGATGATCTACTCTGTAAACCTTCACTCAGCTTGCAATTAAAAAGTTAAAGAAGGAAAAAAAAAAAGAAAGAATGAAACAAGGATCCTTTAGCAAGTCCCCTCAGCGGGAAAGATCTAGTGCAGGATTTCCCATCTATAACTTCTTAATATTTAAGGTGGGAAAGGTTTACTAAATATAAAAGGAAAAAAAAAAACTTTAAGTGCTACTTTAAAATGAACTATTCTATAGAACCACTGTTGTTGTTGTCAAGTGTCATCAAATCATTCCTGGTGTGGCTGTGGATTAACTGCAGTTTGGACTGCGAGGTCAGCAGTTCAATCTCACAAGTCGCTCCTTGGAAACCCTATACACAGTTGCTACTGATTGGAACTGACTCAAAAGCACTTAACAACAACAGTGCTTCTGAGGAGTGACTAGAGGGTATGAACTGCCAACCTTTCTGTTAACAGTCCAGTGCTTATCCTACAGTGCCACACCAGGATTCCATAGAACCAATGTTATTGTTGTTGTTAATTGCTATTGAGCTGCT